GGCGAACGTAAAACATGAACGCGTTGGTTAAACTTTGTCAAAAATAAACATTGTTCATTATTTTATACAAAAAACGAACACATTATATATTTTATACTTTAAGCACAATTATACCCCTCTCCAGTGACGTACTAGTCTTTATCAAATATATCCACTTTTTTATATTATAATAGAGAAACAAGATCTTTCACTCCAATTTAGTCGACATTTTAACGACTTAAATAATTGCCTTAGGGTAATTCCACAACAAATCACCCAGTGATTCGGACCAGCATTCGATATTTTTTTGGTTATTTTATGTTTGGTATATAATTAAATAATTGATTTTATAAATAATCATAATAAATTAATAAAAGTAACTAAAATACAATTTATTTGTTGTAATGTGTATAAAAAACATTGTTAAAAATTTTTTCACTATTTTTTGTTTTATTATCTGCAACAAGAAATGGATTTTAAAATATCTAACAAGTCACACTCACCTAGTGTTGCTAAACCACTCGATTTCGCCAATTTTTAAAAACGACTAGCTCAAGATTTTGGTGAATGGTAAATTACTCAAGCTTATTTATTTTGTCCACATATATCAGAGAGGTTTGAACTTCAATTGGCGAAATTTCGAGGCTTAATTAATATTACGGTTAAAATCTTGATTTAGCTCTTTTTAAAATTGGCCAAATGGAGCTTTTTAACAACGCTAATATTCACCCAAAATTGTAAATATTTTTAGAAAATATTGATATGAGAAAATTTTGTGTATCGTCACAGTTCTAATAAGAATTAGTTTTTTATAATTTTAGGAATAGAAAAATCAATTATGAAGGGCGTTTTAAACGATGAAATTCATCAAATGTGTTTATTACCAATATGTTTAAATATTTAAGTAAAAATATTAACGAAGAAAATTAAAATTTCATTCAGTTTTTATAATTTTAGGAATAAAAAATTAATTATAAATGGCGCTATCTATAAAAATAATTATAATATTTTTTTTTATTGGGATATAAAAAAATGTTTTATTAAAAAATTGATGGTTATTTATAGAGGTATACAGATACCACTTCTTGGAGGTTTATTCGATCCGATATTACCTATATTATTTTGATATCGTCCGATTACCGATCCAATATCATATTTGATTTTGTATTTACTAAAAATACTAATTGTTATATATTAAATGGTTTAATTTGTTATTTTTGTATTTTTTTTGTAAAATATTATTTTGGATTATTTTGTGAATTTGAATAAACAAAAATGCGATTTTATAAGAAAAGAAAATAAAAAGTTATACTTCAAAAATTTATTTCAAGAATTACTTCAAATATATACTTTAAGGATTATTTCAAAAATATAATTCATTAATCGTTTTAATTTTTAATGCGATACTATCTATAATTTAACTACGTAAATCATTTATTAAAAATATTATAATTATAGTTTATATTCATAAATCTTAAAGTATGTAGAATATTTTTGCTGATAAATGACTTATTTATAATTAATCTATTTACATAATAAGTAATAAACAAATAAATATATTATGAAATTTGAAATTAATAATTAAAATGGAATCTTATTTATAAGATTAGTATTTTAGATATAATCTTTTCTAAAAAAATTTTAACATCTTATTTTTATAATATACTACTTCTTCAAAATTAAGAGGCCATTTTTAAATATGGTAATAAACATTTAATTAGTTTCATCGTTTCAACTATGCCTATTCAAAAACGAATTCGAATCGAATAGTGCATTATTCTTTGAATTCGTACGAATAATAAAATCTACTATTTGTATTCGATTAGAATTTTTCGAATAATTCGAATTAATTTTTTTAATAAAATAAATCATACTCAAATATATTGACAAATTTTTTTATTACAAATTTGATTCTAAACAGAAAAAATTATAATAATATGTAATCAATATGATAATAAATAATATATAATCAAGTTATAAATAAAATTAAAATGTATATTATTAATTTAATTTATAATTTAAGCCAATTTTTAAGGCAAAGAGTTTTTCTTTTATTTTCTTCCTTATATGACATGCGGTTTTTTGACAATAAATTAGTTCCAACTGAGAAAAGCCTTTCACAAGCAGTTGATGTTCCTTGTATAGATAGATAATCCCTTGCCATTTTCGAGAGCATGTGGATCCGATATGCATTTGCCTTCCACCACATACGAATCATTCTAATAATGTTTTTTAGTTTTAGAATTGAAGGGTCTAAAATTTTTAAAATTTCTTTGGATATTAAATTAATTACATGGGCAAAGCATCGGATGTGCCCTATTTTTATTAATGGATATTTTAAAGAAAATGTATCAATAAATGTTTTATTATTAGTTGCATTATCTAAAGTTATATAAAAAAATTTATTTTCTAAATTATAAATTTTAATTATTTTAACAAAGGCTTTAAATATATTTTCACCTGAATGTGTTTCATTTATTGGACTGACATACAAAATTATGTTATTTATTAAAATTATCATAAATAAAATGGGCTGTACTTTTATTTTTATATATTTTTCCTTTACCAACTGTTCTTTTTCTACAAATATATTATACATGTGCAATTTAAGAGTATTGGAGCATATTGATTTTACAGAACAATCAAGATCACTTATAAAATTTTTAAAATCATTTGAATTAATAATTTTAAAAGGTATATTATTATTTATCAATAATTTTAATAAATTATCCTTAAAATTAATTTTTTTTTGAAGAATTTGGTGTAGACTTAAAAATGTCTATTTTATTATTTTTTTACTAAGGTGTGAATGAAACTTATTGAGGAGATGTTGTTTTGCCTTTACATTTTATAATACTCTTCTTGCAATGATTGGCAGCCTTTTCACCGTCTTTAAGGATTTGATATTGATCTCATATGATTGCTCTCTTTTGTGTGGAAATTTTCTCATCTTCAACATCAAGCATAATTTCATCAGAAGCATTCTCCTCTAACATAATTAGGCTAGCTAACAATAATTATTGTAGAGATGTAATATATTTTTACTCTAATATAATTTATTATGAGATTCAAAAAATAAACTTGCAAATAAAAATTTAAATTTTCACTAGAAATTTTTGAATTTGTGCTAGAATTTTTATAAACACAAACACATCACCTGTCAGATTGGCAGATCAACAAATAGAAATGACAAATGTTAGATTTATGTAATTATTCGAATTATTTCTGAATAGGCCTAGTTTCAACTGATGCCCTTCTTAATTTTTTTTGTGTTACCAAAAATGCAATGACACTGAAGATATTTTTAAAATAATTTTTGCATTTTCTTAAAATCTCGAGAGCTACAAATGATATATAATTTGTTAATTTATGCCAAAAGATTTTTGAGTAATTTGAGATTTGTAAAAAAAGGCTCTCATCGAACTTTGAAGGTCCATAACTCGGGATATATTTGAGCTAGAACATTAAAATTTTGGTTAATCTATTTAACATTCATGATATTTATCTATTATAAAGTGGTTATCCGAAAGTCAAGTTATTTAGTCGATTTGTCATGGAATTACCTCTCAAACTACAAAGTGTGAGGATGAAATAATTCAGGAAAAAGCGAGATTTATGAAAATGGTTAGAATAGAATTAATCTTGATTTTTAAAATTAGTTTCGGTAAACAAAAGGAGGAAAGTATCCCCTTTGTATACTTTAAAAAGCTAATATTAATGGATAACTTTTATGCAAACCCTTAATTTACTCATATTTACCTATTTCTAAATTCTGATTTTTTGCTGGCAACTCAATATTCAACCAACTCTGGATATAAATGAAGGGAAATTATTCGCCTAAAAAAGACTGATTAAACAAAAAATATCTGTATTAAAGATGCACCTATTTTATATCGGATTGGATCAGGTCGATATTTCACCTTTTTTATAATATCGGTTATCGGGGGATATTATTTTTCAATTCGATAAAATGGCGTCTTAATTTTTAAAAAATTTATTTCAAATTTCATAATATATTTGTTTATATAAATAAATATTCATGAATAAAATATATATGTTATACTATAAAAAAGTATATGAGATGAAGATGTATATAGTGATGAAAAATAGCTCCGTTTGAGCCGATTTTTAAAAATGGCTAACTTAATATTTTAGCCAGAAAAGTATTACGTAAACCTCGAGATTTCGCTAATGCAAAACTTTTTGCCATCTATTAGCAAAATCTTCAGGCTTGTGTAATATTTTTCGGGATAAAATACTGAGTTAGTCATCTTTAAAAATTGGATCGAATATAGCGATTTTGCAAAACTAGAGGTATGTATTAAAAATTAAAACGATAAGTATGTTTACAGAATACAAAATAGAAATGATCGGATCGGTAATTGACCGATATCAATATAAATCGGATTGGATCAGCCTCCAAAAAGTTGTATCGGTACCGTACACTCCTAATTAGTACCACATCACTAATGGCTACATCAGTGGAAATTACCTACGAACTGTCATAAATCTCAATGAGGGAAGGAAATTATAATTTTGAGAACTATAGAAATGAAGATGCAATAGAAAAGATATAGATTTTTAAAAAAAATTGGTATTCTTTTAAATCTTTCCTTAAATTTTGATGTAAGGATCATTTTCTGATTATTCATATGTCTATTTTCTACACATTTTATATTTATATAAAACTTTAAAATATATATAGTGTTTCTATTTAGTCTATATTTTATATAAAATATTTTTAAAATAAACAGAATAAAACTGCCTCTTATTTTCTTCTTTTGAAAATAAAAATCGAGCTGTAATTCACTTCTAACCGAAGGGTTGCTTTTCGATTGCCTGATTTTTTCTACACTTATTATTAATAATAGTTGACTAATATGCTTTACTTTATTTACTGTTTATGTGATGTACATTTTCAGGTAAAATATTTAACTATTTTTACTAAATTTCTTCTACATTACCAATTGATCAATCAAATATTTAACACTCATAATTATTTTTCATATATACAATATTAGAATCCACCGGCTCCCCCTATTCATTAGATTTCAATCCAGACGATATAGATTTTTATTCCATAGAAAATTGAAAATAAATCCTTGTTTTATAAAACAAATTTACGGTGTCGGGAAGTATAGATTTATCATCCTTCATATAAAATTTACTATTCAAAATTATATTTTATTTAAAAATGTATTTTATTCTAATTCGCATCTTAATATATTAAATTATTATAATTTATTTCTATGCAAAAAAAAAATAAACTTATATTTATTATAAAATTTAAATTTTGAAACTTGCATCGAAATGCACATTAGATCATTTTGTATCACTTATATTGCTAATATTGTATTTAAAATCATATTATAAAGTGATTGATTGTTTACTCATCATATATTATACATAAGTCATATATATTTTTAATTATTCAACTAACGGGAATGTATATATTTTTGAGAATTATATTTCCTCAATCGCATTTTACCCATAACTTGATTTGATTAATTATCTACTCCTAATTTTATAATTTGACAAAGTTTTTCGTATAGCATATGGTAAAATGAGTTATTAATCTATTTAATTATAATTATGTTTATAATATTTATTTTTATTAATGATGGTAAAATATTATTTTAGATTTTATTGATTAAATAAGAAAAAGGAAATTATTGTTTTATAGGCTAGTTTATAATTTTTACGTCGCCACCCTAAGCTTGGCTCGACTTTATTTTTTAAAATAATTTTGGTCAAGCTTAGGTTTACTTTTTCTTTCTTGGACTTGAAAAATATAGTAGAAAATGTTTTCTTTCCCTTATCAAAATAAAATTGTAATTCGAATTTTTATGAATTGATAAGAATAAAGTAATTATATATTTTTGTTATATTTAGCTTCATAAAAATTCTCTAAAATATTTTTTTAACCCTTCACTACAAAGGTGGGGTAAATAGGACTCCACAACTTTTATAATCTTTGTAATACAAAAGCTAGAAGATATTCCGACCTGATTTTTTCAGTAGTTTAATATTTTGTAACAAGGAATACAACTTCCAAATTTCATGATTATTGATTTGATAGTTTTTGAGATATATGCTATTTGTTGAGCTTGGGGTAAAATATACCCCACCTATGTAATGATGTAATTTTTTTTTTAAATCCAATTTTTTTTTGTTACTAATTATATTTATGTATGTCAGGTTAATAAATATAATTGAAAAAAATATAATTATATCTTTTTGATTGATATATATGACTTTAAATTTGAAAATTTTATATTATTTATTTTTTCGGTGGAGTAAAAAATCATAAATTTAACATATGATTTTTAATTTGAATTATTCTAGTGACATTTTATACTTTGAAAATAGAATTATATGCTGGCAATCAGCCTGAAGGACCTTATAAATTGAGAAATAAGCCTTTTGATGTGGTTGAAAGGTTAATTCAGCCCATTTTTAAGAGTAATAGGAATGTCACCACAGATAACTGGTTTACCAGTTATGAATTTGCTATACATTTATTAAATTCCCATTCATTAACAATAGTAGGAACTGTAGGAACTTTAAGAAAAAATAAATAGCAGTTTCCAACATCATTTAATTAAAAAAAAAGATATTTGTTCAAGTTTATTTGCCTGCTAATATAATATGACATTAGTATCATATGTACCAAAAAAGTATAAGCATGATGCTTTCTACCCTTCACTATGATAACAATATTGATACATCGACTGGGGATTTGAAAAAACCAGAAATTATCACATTTTACAATCTCACCAAAGCTGGTGTTGATGTTGTGGATCAGCTATGTTCAAATTATTCAATATCCAGAATAACAATAGATGGCCATAACAATTTTTTATAACTTGTTGAATATATCTTGCATAAATTCTTTAATAATTTATAAATCCAATAATTTAAAGGAGATTAATAGATCAAAGTTTATAAAATTATTAGCAATGGAGCTAATAACTATTAATGAGTAATAGATATGAAAACCCACATGTTAATAAACTACTAAGGGATAATATTGGGAACATGCTAAATATAGAGGAATTAAAACCTATTTCAACCAAACAAAAAGGAAGGTGCCCCTCTTGTCTAAGGGTTAGGGACAAGAAATCCTCATTTATTTGTTCAAATTGTTCAAAATTTATATGCAAAGATCATATTTATGTAACATGTCGTGAATGTTTTATTAAAAAAAATGCATGAACTTTAATATCAAATATTTTTTTTAATATCTGATGTTTTATTATAAAATTCATTTAATTATTACTATAAAATATTGAATTAATAAAATATATAATCAAATTTGCTTCCATTCATTTATTTTTGGTCATATCATATGATTAAGGAAAGTTCCAAAAAAAAGATTTTTTTTTGAGCAGCTTTAGTAAATATATCATAACTTTATTTATAAATAAATGTAAATCTAGAAATTTTGTATTTATTATCTCTAATATTTTTACAATAAGTATATAAAATTTTAGTTCTTAAATTTTATTATTTTCTGAGATATAGCTATTTAAAATTTGGGGTAAAATAGACCCCACCTATGTAACCGCGGGAGTTTTTTTCACCTATGTAGTGAAGAGTTAAATTCAAAAATAAAAATTCGGGACGTGCTTGGGCCTAAAATTTTTAAAATAATTTGGGCTCATGCATAAAATTTTGAATTTGCAGGGCTCTAAGTTAGTTAATATATTGTCGCCTGAGAATTATATTTTTTCTAGCTTTACAGAACAATTTTTAAAAATTCATTATCTGTATTTTGAATATTAGAAATGCTTCCTTAATTTTTTTTTAAAAGGATTTGCATATCCAGTTCCTCAGCACTTAATTATATAAAATAAGGTCCGTGAAGTTGGCGGAACGACTTGAGGATCAATTAACAAAACCTGTGCCAATATTTAGAGTCTTAATCTTCAAACCAGACACCAGTGGAATCTAATCTTAGTGAGTTATAAAAGTGGATTTTTGAAGCTAGCGGAACGAGTTGAAGATAAATTCCCGAAAACTATGCCCCTGTGTAGCCCGTTAATTGTCCTAATTAATCTTCAATCCGGGAAACAACGGAATCAAACGTTACTGAGTTATAAGCAAAATAAGAAAGTGTTAGCATTTTGCCAAAACAGAAAATAGGAAAGATCATGTTCTGAAACTTGGCAATTATTTAATGTATAATTTGTGCATTAATATTCAAGCGGGATATCCGTGACCGAATTATAACCATTTTAGCATGCCAATGTGTAGCCCGTTAATTGATCCTCCAAAATCTTTAAACCATATACGAGATTTTTCTTTTGTACGATATTTTATACAAAGCCCATTTTGATATTTTATTCACTTAAAACTGTCCTAGCCAGTTTTCAAAATGCCTGCCAAGTCCGGTATTCTCCGACAATCCCGGGCCCACGAACTCCGTTGATCTATCCCCTTCCCCGATGGTTGGACTCGACTGTCCAAGTATATCATTATAGGATCTAAAATTATAGCAATCATTATTTAGTTAAATATTTAGTGCCTTAATTGCTCCTCCTTATTCTTCAAACGGAATGTCAAAAAATTAAACGGAAGTGAGTTATCAACAAAAAGAAAGTAAATTTTGGAGCTGGCAGAACGACTTGATCAATTACCGAAACCTATGCTACTATGTCCATTAATTGATCTTCATACTGGACACCGGCGTAATAACCGTTAGCGAGTTATAAGCAAAATAGAAAAGTTTTGGCTCTTTGCCAAAACCGAAAATAATAAAGATCATATTTTGAAATCTCCGTGAAGTTAGTCGAACGATTGAAAGCACAGACGATGAATAATATGCCATTTTTTAGTACTTCAATCCGTATAGTAGGCGAAATTAAGGAAAAAAGTTATAAGCAAAAATAAAAACCTTGACCAACTTCACGCTTAAAAGCCGATTGGAAGCACTAATGATATTATATTATTCTTTAGTGGTTCAATAGTAGTTGTTAGTGTTTCCATCACTTATGTAGCCGAAATTATAAAAAAAATGGCTGCATACCAAAACACTAATTAGAAGAGCGACAAACATCCTATTTTATGCCATTATTTAATTAATTAGTTAATTTAAATTTCGTAATTAATTTGGTCAACCTATAAAAAATTTTTATAAGCTATATATATGTTTCAAGGTTATAATTACTACTGGGATGGCTTATTAAAATTTTACGAAAAATTATGTATTTACGAGTCCAATAATAAAGCTCGAAAGGTTATTATGTTTGTGTTATAAAAGTGACAAAAAATATTATATCTATACTTTGTTATTGATAGATCTTAACGTTTTTTAATATTAATTTTAAATTACGTGTTCTTATATTATTATTAATATTTTTTAGTATTTATAATGATTTAGAATGTATAATGATATTAAAATAATGATGATCATGCAAACTATTCATTTTTTCAAACAATATATTCAAATAATTATTATAATGTAAATTATTCTTTTCACAATTATAATTTTATTTTTATAAAATTTGAAAAGCTGGAAACATGTTTATATATGATTTAAATTAGCCACGATTTTATTTAATAAATGAAAAGTGAAAGTGCATATAAAATATGTTGGGAGGATGTAAAGATGTAATATAAAACGAATAATAAACATAATATAAATATTTTGATTTAATTTTAAAAAAGCTCTTTTGATATATTTCCACCCTTTCAGCCCATCTTGCTTCTCTATCTATCCTTCTCTTCTATCGCGGTGGCATCTTTCATTATATATTATTTTAACTTTTTAATATTTTATTCGTAAATATCTCATTATCCAAGTAGCTGTCTAGAAAGATTATATATATTATATTAACTTTTTAATATTTGGGTCAGAAATACATTAATTGTAAAGTGTTAAAATGATATTAATATTCTCAAATATCATTCAGAAAGCTTTCTACAAAGATTATATACTATTTTTACTTTTTAATACTTGGACCACAAATATCCCATTCATATACATACATTAGTGTTTAAAATTTATCAATATTCTCATAACATTCAGAAGACTTTCTACAAAGATTATATATTATTTTAACTTTAAAATACTTGGGCCGTAAATATCCCATTCAATGTATACATTCTCTAATATCATCCAGGAAGCTATCTAGGAAGATTATATATTATTTTAACATTTTAATAATTAGTCGTAAATATCCCATTCAATGTATATATTTTCTAATATCATCCAAGTAGCTATCTACAAAGATTATATATTATTTAAATTTTTTATTCATTTTTTATTTTTTATCTTTATTTATTACTAATATTGTATCTTATTTTTATAAATATTTTTTGATTTAATTTTTGCTAAATTTGTCTTTGTTTTTGTATTTTTTTCCCATTTTTGTAATTTCTTCTTCATTTTTTCGTAATTTTTTTTATTTTTTTGTTTTTTCCATTTTTTGTGGTTTTTCCATTATTTGTTTTTTTTCTATTTGTAAACAGTGTTCAGCTCAGAGGTGTTAAATAAAAAAGAACATACACTATTTATATAATTTATGTATTAATTATTTATTTAAAAATATAATTGCATAATAATAGTTATAAAAGACCTTACTGGGATAAAAATGGAAGAAGCGCTAAGTCAGATTTAGTTCTAAACTGAGTTGAAAACAAATGAAACCATAAAATATTGAATATGAAACCGCTAATCTTTATTCCTTAAAGGTCATAATGTGCAAGCAATCTGTATCAAATATACCTAGGATTAAATCGGATTACATATAAATCAATTAGTATATCTGAAATAGCAACCATATTTACCCATTATAATAAATATTTCCTATGATGAATTATTTGTGCACTATTAGTCAGCAGAACAAATAATAACTTTTAATAAATATTACAGATATTAAAG